ACTTTTACTATTGTAAATGGTTCAAATGACAAAGAAAATTACAATTTCCTTTTTTTTTTGTATTTTTAAAACATAAGACATAAAATCAATTATGATAGTTTATAGTCAACCAAAATAAATGGTTACAGCCACGTTTTTTAAAGCGAAACAAAATAATTTCTCCACTACTTAAGAATCATACACTATTGCGCATGCGTCAGAAGACATATTAGCGTAGTCTTGCACCACAAATGCTTGCCGTCTGATATAATTCGTTCGATTCGCTGGGAAGTAACGCTTGGCGAATCAAAGACAGCTATAATTAATATACAAACATTCCAGAGATCTTGTCCAAATTAGTTAGATTTTTTTCTGATTGTAAAACTCTCCGTTTTTTACAGATATCATAAAAAACTCTCCGATAATTATTTTATTTATTATATCTAAAGCGTAGTTGTGTGTATATGTATAAAATTGTTTAAAATACATTTCTTCATAAATAATTGCTCACATAGGAACAACCCAAACATATACACACCTATATTAGGTCTTTAGAATATGATTAAAATTATTTTTCTTGCAGAATTATTAATAATAATAAATGTGACATCAAACACAGAAAACTACAAGAAATCAGAAAACAACTCCTACATGACGGGAAGAAAAACAACCATACTCACAGCTAAAAAAAATAGATCCACATGAATAGTTTATAGCAAAGAATCTTAGTTTTAAAGCAATGAATCATAAGAAATTCTTATATGACATGTTCCGATTTTTCAGCATATTTATCAAAACAATTGTACACACAAACATATGTACATATACTCTATCAGTGTTTGTAGTTATAAGTAAAATCGCATAGTTACTAGAGACGCCCACTTGCGCTTTTATGAAACTACTCAAGACAAACATAAAAACTCAAATTTAACTCCACTGCTTTTTGCAGCACATATAGTACTTATGCACTTAGCCAAATAGGTAATTAAATTCTAATTTCAAATTTCGCATTCTCAATCGAATAACATTGATTGATTAATTAGAAGTTTGTTGAGCGCTGAAGCACGCCCCGAAATTCTTTGCTTAATTTAAGCTTCAAATAAAATTCAACTATAATTACAAATGAGCTGCGATGTTAATCGCGGGATGGAGCAACGATTATGTAAAGTTTTGAATTTGTGGAGAGTGAGTAAGCAGTTGTGTATAGCAAAGTCTGTATCTATCTATTTATAATTACTATAAATATTTATTTATACAAATTGCAATCAAATAACGCGATTAGCTTTTTTATTGCTGTAATTACTATAAATCGACACTTAATAAAAATTATAAATAGCTATCACTCAAAGATGTGCTTGACTATTGGAGCCTTCTACTTGTATTGTTTAATTGTTGCTTTGCACATTGGAGCTTGTGCTGCTGTATTAAAGTTACTACAGTTCCATGACTCAATGTTTATGATTCAAATTTTATTGAAATAAATCAAGTTTTCAAATCTCCAAACAAAAAACGTACCCTCGTAAATAGCAGTTAAGTAATTATTAAGCACAGAATTTTGCTTTCACATAATATTTGTTGCTGAAAAGCTGATTTACCTTGTAGTTGAAATTTGCATAGAGGTAAGTATACATAATAAGCACTAATTTATTATGCAATATTGCAATAGGTACATACATATGTGTATATGTCGTAATAACATTGAAATTTACACGCGAATATAATTTTTTATATATTCCTATTCTATAAATGAGGCATCTGAATGAAATAGGAAGAAAGTCTTCTTGACTGATTAAATATAAAAATACTGAAATGGCGATATAGCGTAGATAAAAAATTAGAGTTGCCATGTGGAAAATTTAATCAGATCATAAGTTGACTTTTTCCATCAAAATAGTGTGTACACAAATCATATAATAAAATTACCAAATGTAACAAAATTCAAATATAAATATATTGAGAACTGGATGTTTCAAATAAACATAGAAAATGAAAAAAACAGATTTTACTATTTTAAAATTTTTTTTAATATCGAGTCTATAGCTATATTTCTGCGATTTTCCAAGACGTGACGTACTTGATTATTATTCCTGTGCCTTCTTTTCAGTATACATATGTCAATTATTTGAAGTGTAAATAACAAAAATAAACAACAAAAAAAAAAGTCGCACTTTGTGCCTGCAAAAGGGGTTTTCCGGGAGTTCCTTTTCATTACATAAATTTGAAGAAAATCACCACCGAAAGTCTTCGTAATTTGGTGGAAGTTCATATTGAACATGCTCAAGCAGAGCGAACGTGCCAAAATGGTTTGGATAGTTTATAAGAGGTGATTTTGGCTTCGAAGACACACACTGTGTTGACCAGCCAAAAAAGTTTTAATATGAGGAACTGGAAACATTACTCGATGATAAAGATAACGACAAATGCAAAAAGAGCTTCCAGAAACTTTAGGAGCCAAATTTTTAACAATTATTTATTGTAACAATCTCCAAATTTTTTCTATAATTTAGGTTGACAACCCTTTTTCTTGCCTGCGGTATGCATAATCGGCTTTCGCGTATGTAGGAAATACTTTACTGCTGCTAATGCAATTGACCGAAGATTGTTTTCTCCCCAAGAACACACTTTTTATTTATTTATTTATTTATTAAATTCACCAATTCCACACCGTCTCAATTAAGTAATTCTGTGGAATATAAACTTCGTCTGGTGAGTTGGATGTTGCACGCAAAAAAAAAATTCACAGAAATATATACATATATAGAAGCATATATTATATGTACAAGTATATAGTTGTATACATATACATATATACATATATTGTATGTGAATTAAAGTAATTTCGGCAAGTCAGACATTAATCACTACTGTTATTTTATGTTGAGAAGTACTAAGAATGATTTATTTTTGAACACTTATGTATGTATGTTTCGCTTTGCTACTCGTTTCTCTTTTGGCTTTGTATTCTTAGTAAATTAGTTACGCACAAAAAAGTCATTCACTTTTGTAGAGAAAATGTGTTAAGGTTGAAATATTTGTGCAATAAAGTAGAGAAATACAAAGAGGCAAAAATTTAATGAATGGCGAAGAAGTTGAATAACAGAAATGTATATGAAGTGAAATAAAAGAAAACCAGTTTTATCTTGTCGAAAAAAATGTATATGAAGATTATAATATATATTTATTTATTTATTTATTTATTCCAGGAAGTACATATTACATACAAAGTATGCACCTATAGAGGTGTTACAAAACACCTGTACATAGGCCTGGTAATATTAGTTTATTATAACTAAGTACTAAGTAATATGAATATAAAAAATAATACATTTTTTAGTAGTTGTATTATATTTTCTTCTTTTTCTAACAACGGAATGACAATTCCTTATTTTATTTTTATATTTCTTGCTATTTATTTATTTTACAAATATATATACATTCTAATTAAATAATTTTTTTCACCCATCATATTTCTATGCGATTAAAAAGTCAATAAAATAAATCTCAACCGCCAAAGCTTGAATTAGGTTTCAAGAAAAACAGCAACAACGTATAAGCAAATTCAGTCGCCAGGTGCGAACATCTTTAATAATAGTGTGTAATTAAAGATGAAAACAGGGAAAAATTATATATGACACTGAAGCAATATTTTAAACTACATATACTATATATAAGCCAAAGTCAGATCTAGCAAAAATATGAGGAATACTTCAAGCATTAGGAAACATAAACAAAGTTGGTACTTCTTTGTTTCATAAAACTTTTTTTATTTTTGTTGCTATTTTTATAATTTATACTTCACAGCTGAAAAGGCAAGATGATTTTTTACAGGAACGTACTTACTCATCTGTAGAGCAGATGACTTGATTTGAATGTAAATTTCCCAAGATATGTTATTAACTTAAATTCTGAATTTTTCGCTGACCAAGAACCGAAAGTGACTCTTTTAAGTCAATTGTATAGACTGGATAAAGCGTTTGTCAGGGAGGAAGAAAAAAAGTCTACTCTCAACTATACACCGATAAGTTATGTACATTTGAGTGGGTGAAAAAGAAAATTGTTTTGCTTGGTACGATGAAAAATATGTTCTTAGACAGCTAAACAAAAATATACTCGAGTATGAGCTGTTAATTTTAACGGGAAGGTCATCCGCCTTACAGTTTCCCATTTTTTTCTTATTATCAGATAGAAAATTTCATATTTCGTTTCCAACTACTTAAAAAAAAAACTCGTTTCATAAATTTTGTAGGAAATTTAATGCTCTATAAAATGGTCCCTTTCGATTTTTTATTTATGAATGTTATAAATCAATGAAAAAAAATCGGAGTATCAAGCAAAAAAAAAAATATTCGTTATTTTCACCCACTCAATGTACATAGCTTTAGCCCTGGATTAGTAAATTCAAGATCTATACTCATTAGATGATTTTTATGGCATCGATATGGCACATCAACTAATTTAACTAATTTGTTCTAAAGTCTAGTTGACGATGCCAATTCCGATTCCGATGCGGATGACGATGCCTCGATATGGATGTCACGATAACACGACTCGATACTCCGCTTCTCTTATGCGTTCAGAAGTCCATTTGACAGTTGACGATGTCGATTCCGATTCCGATACCGCTGCCTTCATATTGATGTCATGTTCTGATGCCGATGTCGATGCTACCCGAACTCCATTCATTACGTGACTCTCATGAAGCATTATTTAGACTACATTTTCAAGTTTAGTAAAATTAGCTCTTGAAATCAAATTATTCTAAGGAATATTTATCTAGATTACTTAGCTCTAGGCCCTTTCAGTAAAAATCATTATAGAAATATCGTAAAAGTTCTCAAAATTACCCTTCAAATGTCTTTTGATATTCAGCATATGTTTTTGAGCTTTTGGGTTTTTTTAAGGTTATGTGTTACTTCTTATTTGTAATATCGAAAAAAAAAATGGAACGAAAATTTTATATTTTTCAATTGTAAACCTGGGCCTGTTTTGAGAGCATATTCTACAGATTAGTAAAAAAATAATTTTTGTATTAAATAATTCGACTTTATTTTGGCACTTTTTAAAATTACATAGTAAACATTTATAGATTTTAAAGTACATTAAGCCACTATTTATAAATACTATCTTTAAAGTCATAATAATACTAAATTAAAATTAATTATACAAATCACACATAAATCTATATGTCAGGTTTTGTTTATTTTTGAAAATTAAATTATAATTTAGTACTTCCAGAATATTGCCCGCTTACCTAAAAAGGAAAAGCGTCAACCCATACTCAGCATTGCTCTTTTATCAGAGCTGCAAATCTGCTGCCACTCAACTGTCCAAATGCTGTCTTCAATGCGTCACTTTACTTTTGGCCAAATATTTCAGAAATTCTGTTGGCGTGCGAAACCCCTTTATTGGATATTTACCAAAACGGCCATTGGTTTTAGAAACCGCATAGTAAACCGGATAAGCGCCAGGCGCCACACGCACATTCATAGTTTTGCTGACTTTATGACCATCCAAGGCTTCCTGATTGTAGAGAAAATGTAGATTCTTCTTTTGATTGCGACTAGGTTTACGGAATTTCGGTTCGGTAAGTTGTCGAATGATCGGCGAATCCGCAACCTTGCTGTCGGTGGCGGCCTTAATATCATTGGGACGCATTTTCTTGACGCGCATGCGATTCGAGTTCACATAGTTGCGATTTGCTGGCAGTAAACTCTGTATTTTGTAGAGTGATGAGTCTTCGCTGCCGCTGGAGTCTTCAGACAGCGCTGGCAAATCGAGTGGATTGACGCGTATCACTTTTTGTGTTGTATTCGCGACATCGGGTATGACGTCCTCGGTGATAACGACAAATTTGGCGGGCATTTCGGTTGGTTTGGCAGGCGCTGTGTCATCTAGCGTGTAAATGGAGGCGGCGAGTGTGCAATCTAGCGCCAAAACGCTGAGTAACAGCGACAGGTGCTGCAAAGTGAGCAATTGCGAGAGTTGTTAACCTTTTTATTTGATATTTATAGCGCAACATAAAGTTTTAATATTTTTGCAATTTTAGTATTATTTAACACTAACTTTTTTTATTGCCTTCATTAATATATGTTTCACCTTTAATTTTCATGCAGTTAATTTCATTTGAAGCACACACAATTTTTTCGCAAATCATATCTCTTCCACTCTCTCTCTCTATTAACACTTACCAGCAGAGCGCTTTGACAGCGTTTCATGTTCATTGTCCGTCTTCTATCGAATAACTTCACCCACAACACGCTTATAAAACGCTTGACTTGCAATATGCGAATTTTTTTTTTTTACTCAAACACTTAAATTAATTGCGTGTGTTTAATGTCGCGAACTTCCACGAACTGTAAAAATGTCGTTTGCGTCTGCTATAAAAATTTCTTTTCCGATATTTGTTGCTGTCAGCACTGATATTTCCGTTGTTGTTTGCTGCTGTTGCTGCTATTGCTGTCGGTGCGATTGGTTCGGTTGCTTCCTACAGCCAAAGTGAAATGTTGTCGACTGATCGGCTTGTAAGGCTTTGTGTTAAGTTTTATGTCGCCATCGACAGCGCCAGCGCCAGCACCTTAGCTATCGTCTGCGGCCTCCGGTTTCCGTCGTCTCTGTTGCAAAGTGCCACAGCACAGCTTCCAGAGAATTGGCTTCGCTTTGTACGATTGTGTGACGATGACAAATACTCCAGTGATTGCTGGTGAATCTTAGCTTTGACTTCTTGCTATTTGTTGTTATTGTTAATATTTATAATTCTTCTTTTTTTACAATAATCTTTTGCGTTTCCCTCGCTTTGTAGTTGTGAAACGCAAAAAGCAGCAAAGTGAAAAATAAATCGCTTAGCAAAATGAAAAACAATAAACATGACGGGCAGAGATACAATCTTTTGCGTTGCTCACTTTATTTAATTTCATATTATTCTTATTTTGTTTATTTGATTTGGCAGAGACATTCGAAAATATTTTTAACCCCATCGGAGAGACAGTGTGTCAGGAAGTGAAAAATTGTATTCAAATTGCAGCTATATGCTATAGTATTCCGATCTAAACAAAATGTTTAGCGTTTGTAGCACTGTCTTACGTAATAATATATGCCAAGACAGATACAAGAACTCAATTTTGATCGGTCAGTTTGTATGGCAGCTATATCCTATAGTGATCCGATATCGATTTCTACAAATGAGCAACTTAGTGAAGAGACAAGGACGTGTGCAAAATTTCAGATCGATATCTCAAAAACTCAGGAACTATTTTGCGTATATACAGAGGGGCAAACAGATGCATATGGCGAAATCGATTAAGCTCATCTCGCTGATAATTTATGTATGTACATATATATTTTATGGAGTCTCCATTTTTTTCTTCTTTTTCTACATTTTCATAGTTTTTTGAGCTTTGGTGAGAGATTTTGGATTCGCAGTCACGAAGCTTATTACTCTTTCATTATTTTTTCGGCTCTTAAAAATGATGAATTATTAGTTTATTTTGAAAATTCAGAAAAAATCGTAAGAGAATAAAAACATTTAAAACTTTTTACTACTTGAAATACTATAGATTCGATATTCAAATGGTCTTTCTTGACCGATAGATATCTGGTCGTCTCATAAAAATATCAAACGTCTAGGAAAGCATTAAGACTTGACTGGTAGCTCCTAATTAATAACTTATGATTGTATTTGATGACGCCTTAAGAGGACATCGTCTGAACTTTCCAATTTAACTTGGCCTAGAGAGAAAGAGCATAAGCCAGATTCAGCTTAAGCGGTAATATCCACTTATAAATTGCAAAGAATCGTTTAAAGTAGATCCACTTTCGGAGAAATAACAGTATTTGTAAGAATTTGTATGAAAACGAAAAGAAACGCTGTTTTCAGTGTCAATGACTAAAACTTTTCCCAAACGGCTGTACCGATTTACATGAAATTTTCACATGACTTTTTTATAGACATTTCTCAGGTCATAATAGCAGGAATACGATTTTTTAAATAATATCGATTTTTGAAGCCATTCTAAAATGTAAATATGTTAACAAAAAAGGACTCTTTTTGGGAAGTCCTAATTTTTTTACAAATCAAACGTTTGACTAATCTTTCGATCATTACCTTTATTCACTTATTATAATAATTTTAAGCTGAAAAATCTCCCTTACTGACAGAGACTATTTAAGGGAGTCCTCCTGGAGATCGGTTACGAGATCAATTTAATCCAAAGTTTTTCAAAATAAGTCCGCTTATTAAATTACATTAAATTTTGAAAATGTAAATTATTTTTATTCATTTATTAAATAAAATGCCTCTTCAAAAAAGTCTGCGTCTTTTCTGGCTTGCATGTAAATATAACCTCCTTAATTTGTGAAAAATAAACAATTTTTTTTGCATTTCTTTGAAATTGCTCCACCGTGCACGATCAGTTACATTAAGAACGCAGAACGAATGATGAAAACAAATAAAAGCAAATAGTAGACACACACAGAGATTATAGTATTATAGTTCTGAAGCGGAGCTGGAGATGACGTTCGCTACGGTGTCTGTGACGGCTACGTTATGCTTGTCGCTTCAAAAAATTTCATTTGCCAGTTTTTGTGAGTAACATGTTGTTGTTGTTGTTGTTATACTCGTTATTGTGGTTGTAAACTTAAAGTTGATAATTACGAGTATTTGAATTGTAACTACGCTTGTCACTTGTAAACTTTTGAATACTGAAAACAGAGTTTTGAATGCGAAATAGCTAAATTTGCCAATTCTCTGCACTCCAAACTTTTATTTTTTTGCTTTAAAGCTCCCGAATCTCATTTTCAATTATTCGCTTGTTTATTTTGATTATAAAAAGTAAATAAACATAAGCGTCGATTACCTCAGCGAGTTTTAATTGGATTGCGTATTTAAATTGCACAATAAATTATAATTACAAACAAACACATACACACGCACTCATATAAAGATGTACGCCTCAAATGAGCACAGTCGAAGCTCTTCAAAACTCCTCAGCAATGTGCTCGTAAGCATTCAATTGCCGACGCGAAAAGTTTCCGAAGCCGCTAATAATCGAATCAAAACGAATATTTGTGACAATTTCGCAGACAAGCATTTCTTTGCGCGCCAATTTTTAAGCCATCAGTGATTGCATTACACCAGTGATCCAGCTCTTTTGGCAAAATCCACCGCAATTTAAGCCGCTTTGTGGTCTTGGCGTGAGATTCGTCTGTAAGAGATATAGCTAGACATACATATATAGTGTATAAGTATGTGCTCGTAAGTGTGTAGGTTGGCAGCGTCTAAACTGCTACTCTCTCTTCCTCTTCACACCTCTTCACTTTTCAAACCAAAAGTGGGAAATCGTAGAAAGAACAAATATTTGAAAAGTACAACTTCAAATACATATGAATGTATATATATAAATATAATATATATCTTCATAAATACTTAAGGCAGTTATTAATAATTTCTTGTTGTTTTACTTTTTCATTTGCTTCTTAATTATGTTCTCTCATACATTCGTGAGTGCGTTGAGATTCAAATCTCCAGTTGCCGGCAACTGACGCAGCACGCAGCCATGTATTTATGATTAATATTTGTAATTTGTTAATGATTTAGAAAATTGCTGTATGGGGGGTTTGCGCATACAAGGTATATATAATACATATGTATATTCATATATTTACATGTATAACTCATTTTTTTTAGGTATTTTGTAGGACATTAATTGTTTCTAATTGAAATTTTTATTTTGGTATCAATAAGTTTTGGAATACAAGCGTAGACCGCCATAAACATTATTTATTAGATTTAAGTCTCGGTTTTTAAGTTAGCTACGGTTCCCAAGTATTTCCAAGGTTGGCAACCATAACGAAAGAAGACGTTACTTATAATAATCTGTGAAGTCAGACATTGACTCTCTGTAAATGTTTAGATTGGTTAAGTTAGGTATATAGGCTGATTCCTCATAAGGCCACAAATAATCTCACTTGTCTGTTGTGCTGTTCAGAACTCTCGATATTTTCCATCAATTCCTATTAAATTATTGCGAGTTAATATTATTATTTTTTAATGCATGCCATTATTAATTTGGTATTTAATAATAGCGAAGATTATGAGCTAAAGTTTATATATATTTTTACAAAATATTTCCACTTAGACTTGCCTATATTTTATTTATTAAATGTATGTGTCGATGTGTAAATATATTAAATTGAATCTGTTTATAATTAGTTATATTAATATATACGAATCATGTAAACAAAACGGCGCTGAGTGTGGCGTAAAGAAGGAGAAAAAACTCCTCGATTTTTGTTTTTTTTTTCTTCGATGACACATTAGAAATTCCATCTTGAAACTCATTAGCATACAAAATAAATGCAAATTGTATTATTATTAATTCCATAAACATGTGTATATACATATATATGTATGTATGTGCACGTTTTGGCTGCTCATATTCATTGCTTGAGGCCCGTGGCAGGTGCAGCGGCAGTTATACACACAAGCAGTTAAAATAATAGTTCATATATATAAATTATATATACGAAGATATGTATACATATATGCAAATATATATATTCATATATTTTTGTAAGTAGACTCTCTCATATGCTCGGCGTCATAATTATACTAAAAACAAATGATGCGCATGCGAACAAACCTCTAAATAAATAGAATTCGCAAAGAAAAAAATTATGAGGTTAGATATACGAGTGGTGAGCATTGCTTGCAGTTCATTAACTTTTAGGCCATAAAAGCGTTTAATGCAACAATAAAATTTTACGCTTGGAATATTTAAAGAGTTTTTGTAAAAAATTTATATTTGTTTATTTTATTTGCTGTTTATTGAAAAGGCAGGTAATTGTGTTAATCAAAATTCAATTATCAGTAAAAAAAAAAAAACACCAAAAAAAAAATACTTTGTATATTGGTAAATATGTAAATTTGCGCTGACAAAAATCTAGGTGAAAGCTCTTAAAAGTAGGCCAAATGTAAATAGGAAATATATATCACAATTTTTTGAAAATTTTTCGGCGAGAAATCAGTGTAAGAAACGATGAACTGGCAAAGACCGGTTGAACTGGCCATTGTTGTCACGCATATTAAAGTTACAGTAGTCATATTACATATTGATGATTCTAAGCCAATTTGAAGGCGTAATATTAATACATATATTTTTTATATTTTTCCTTTATTAATTAATGATTTTTTATTCGTTTTTAAATTAATATTTTTTTTTTTTAAATAATTTTATATTTAATTTCATTTTATTTAATTTATTTTAATATAATTTAATTTTTAATTTAATTTTAATAAATTAATTTTTTTTTTCTTTTTTTAAATACATTTGCATTTTTTTTATTTTTGTATGTAATATATTTTTTATTATTTATTATTATAGATATTTTTTTCTTTTGTTTTTCGTATATATTTTTTTACTATTTCTCAATTTTCTAATATCAAGAATTTTTACTGTTATTAATAATTTATCTTTTTTCATTTTAATATTGAGATATTTGCCACTTTTTTTCGACTAACAAAACTTGCTATTAATGCTGTTGACCCAATTCGCTCTTTGTCTACATTCTTACCGTTACGCCAGCTAATCTGCAATGTTTGTTTTATTTAAATAACAATTTGTTGCTATTTCTTAGTAATATACAAGTAATATTAAAAGTGTGCGGCTTTTTTATTTAGTAGTTGCTTGACCAGTTCAGCGACACCTTTGAATAGACGGTTGACCGTTTTCTTTTCTGCGGGCAACGCACAAATTTACACATTTGAAAGAAATATATACATATATACAGTAGTATGTAGTAGCGGGCAATGTGCGAACTTTAGTCATATAATTAATTCATTCAGCGCATATGTGTGTCATCTGGCAGCTAGAATGCCGTTTTTGTCATGGG